GTTGAGGGAGGATGGAAACATGGAAATAAGCGTCTTTGAGATCTATCGTAACAAACCAGTCCTCGGACTGGATTTGAGATACTATCTGCTTGATAGTGAGCATCTTGAACCGAAGCTGTTTGATAGCGTGGTTCAGAAGACGGAGATCTAAGATCGGACGCAACCCCCCATCCTTCTTCGGAACGATGAAGTAACGGCTGTAGAACCTGGACGTTCTATGGCCTCCTTCCTCAAGAGAGTGTCTACTTCTTGTTCCATTACCAGAGCCTGCTCGGGGCCCACCAGAGTGGGAATGACCCCGTTGAAAACGAGGCGGAGGAGAACCGAACTGATTTGGTAGCCTCTTTCTACAGTGTGCAGGACCCATGAGACACATTTGGCAGAAGTTTCCGCGCTGCCAAAAAAGGTCTACTAAGGAAATCAGTCTCTCGAGACTGACTTCTGGTGTAAATCAGACAAGTAAACACGGTCTGGTGTGATAAGATTCATATCAAAACCGAAAATGATGTAACGCATGCGTTACCTCGGCATCGCACGAGCCGCTTGGTCAAACAAACAATATCAATCTCCTCAGAGAAAGATAGCTGCAGCATTGAGCTCTCACTCAGAGGGGGAAGAAACCGCTGCGCTGGCACTAGATCTAGGGAACGCGGGTGGAGATAGGGAGTCCTCACTGCCACACCTCGTTCTCGCTCTGAGTAGGTCTCCAGCATGAGAGGCGGACGCACTGACAAGGAGGCTAAAGACTGCAGCCACTAGGGTCAGTCGCTAGTGCGTCTCTTGAGATCAGGGGAGTGAGGTTTACCTGCACAGCACCTACCGCTGGCCTCTGTTACATCAGCAGCAGCGGGACCAGAACCACAAGATCACAGGCACGGACACGCTCCTTGGAGTGTGCCCGGCGAGAGCGGAGCGTTTAACCGCGGGAAAAGCACAATCAGCCCCCTCTCTTTTTCCCGAGAGCTGACTGCGCGAGCTCCGCTCCCCAGTAATGCTGCTCATTATAAAATTAGGCATAATATGCTTGTGTAACTGATGCTTGTGCAGCTGGCGAGCTCATCGACGCCCTCCATATCAACCTCGGAGGAGGAAGACAGGTGGAGCGTTGAGCCCTCTCCCTGGGTGGAAGAACCGCAGCACGGGCTTCCGAACCCCGAGAGCTGACTCTGCGTGCTTCGCTCACTCAAAATATAGCGCGGGCAGGGAGGAACACACA